CGTATCACGGTGTTTTACTTCCATAACAAACAGAGCTATTTCATGTTTCTTCCTACAGATGCAGCGTGCTCCATTTAAGTAAACAGAGAAGCACTCCGCGTACCATTTAAGTAAATAGGAGCATCAGATCCCTTTAAACAAAAACACAAGTGTGACATGGCGACCGAAGATGTCGGTGTCATCAGTGACTGGAAGAGTCGGCACTGGGACTTGGTACAGCAAAACCTGAACGAGTTCCGATCGCAGGGAATCCTCTGTGATGGACGGGTCCTGGTGGGGGAGCGGGTGTTCCCCGTGCACAGAAACATCCTTGCCGTCAGCTGCCCGTACTTCAGCGGTACCCTCGGGGCGGAGACGGCGGAGGCCGCGGGCCCTGCACCCGCGGAGTTCAACATCACGGACGCCGTGACTCCGGAGCAGTTTGACTCCGTCATGTACATGTGTTACACCTCACAACTTCCCAAGAATCTGGACGCCAAACTGCTGGATATATGTGAAGACGTCTTCAAGATTCCTGTCACATTTTCGACAGTCGGCGACCCGGTGGAGTTCCCTCCGACGCCTCCGTCCTCTCCGAAATCTGAGAAAAAGAAGAAGGAAGACGGGGATAAGAAGGAAAAGTCTGATAATGAGTCTAAGGAAGAGGCCCAAGCGAACGGCGAGGGTGGAGTGGAGGAGGGTAGAGGTGAGGGTGGGGAGGGGGGCAGCGAGACACCGGCGTCTGCTCCACCCCCACCCCCTCCACCACCCCCTCCCCACCGACATCCCCGCAAACCCCTGAATACCAGGATACTTCAACCATCACCATCCAGGACAGCGTAAAACGAAACCTCCAGACATCCTTCCACAGGAATCTGAACGACATGATAGAACGCGAGCAGTTCTGTGACATTGAACTTCACGTCGAAAACAGGGTCTTCCGAGCTCACAAGAACATCCTAGCCGCCGCCAGCGAGTATTTCCGCTCCATGTTCACATCTAACATGAAGGAGCGGTTTCAGGACGTGGTGACGCTGAAGGGAGTCAGTGGACGGAGTTTTTACTATCTCATGGAGTTCATGTACACAGGAGAACTACAGTTATGCTTCAGAACAGTGAACGAGCTTCTAGTGGCGTCCAGCTTCCTTCAAATTCGGCTGGCCATCGAAGCGGTCGCGCAGTTTTTGTACCTTCATCTGGATGCAGAGAACTGCATTGATGTCTTGAACTTGACGGAGACATACGGCCTGTCCAGGCTGGGAGACAGGGTGTATCAGTTTATAAAAGACAGGCGAGAGACGTGGGCGGTGGAACAAATGAACCCTCAGCAAAGAGCTCGCTTCGACAAGACACCGATGAAGTGCATCGCAGCTACTGCAGCACAGGTAGGCTATCTGGAAAATGTCTGCAAGTCTGTGTGCCACCCATCTTTGCTGACGCCCCATGGCCATTTCCACTAGAGTCTACGACCGCTGAGCTATCGTCATATAGCGTTTCGTGTTGTCTTGTCAATCATAATAAAGTAATTAAACATATTGCATCATATTCTAATTATGCAATCAATGGTCGCACAAAATCCAATTTTTGGTCGCCCAACGCTCAGCGACTGCCTTCTAGATGTACATATGTAGTTCGCTTTACCCGTTGCTGTTGTTGCATCCGCAGGAATTTGTCCATGCCACTGATGACCCTCCGGAACTGTACATTTTTGACGACTCAAGAAACGTCTGGAAGCTCCTGACTTCCCTTCCGCACGACGTCTCCAAGACGACATACTTTGACGTCGCTGCCATCGACCACTACGTGTACGTCATTCTAGGGGATTGCGACACTCAGCGTGGAAAAAGTAGTTGTAGGGTGTTCTGTTTCGACGCCCTCTTACGACTGTGGTCCGAAGTTCCACAAATGCGACATCCTCGATCTTACTTTGGATTGGCAGCCCTGGATGGACATCTTTACGTCGTGGGTGGCCGGAATCTTAAGGTACAATGATGTTCAAATGCCTGTATAACTGTCCTCATAGGTCTAGACAGTTCTATGTCGTTAGCGCAAAATGTCGTTCGATTTACATACGGCATGAAAGATGCTTTAATAGCAAAGAAGTATATTAGCATTCCCAACATAGATTTTTCTTTACCGACACAGGAAATGAAGGAGATGGGATGTAGCTACATGTCATCTGTGGAGAGATTCGAACCCGTGACCAACAGCTGGAGTGCCGTGTGCGCCCTACCGGTGGGTGTCCGGGCTCCAAGGTTAACCACCTGCATGGGGAACCTTTGGGTCTTCGGAGACCACCTGTCGTGGGGAGACAGCACGGCCAGGTCGCTGCGCTACGATCCCGCTGTGGATCGCTGGGTGGAGCTGTGGAGCGCTCTGCCCGGAATGAAAGGTTAGTGTTGGTGTATCCAGAACCGTACTGTAGAGTCTGAACCATGTCCAGATACGATTCTGGATAGTCCACGCGCATCCAGAACCGTGCCTGGAGAAAATCTACGCCCGTTTTTGGATACGAGGAGACTATGCAGAACCCTGCCTGATTCTGGCTCTAACCCATTCAGGTCAGGCACAAAACTGGTACGGATCTAGTTGCTCCACTGTTGTAGTAGTAGTTAGCGCTGTTTCAAAAAGACTGACAAAGTAGCTGTAGTATAAATCGCGTGAATGTCTCTAGCTTCTTTGTTGCTTTTGCCAAACGGTTTTTAACGTTAACTTCTTCCCCTTATTTGCAATACCCTACCCTGGATAAATCTGTTTCCCCTTTTGTTTTAGTTTATTGTAGGATACATTCTACTAAAATTGTTGTGAAAGTCTTTCCTCAAAGACAAAGTTCCAAAATATAATACTAATACTAATACCTTCTTGCTTCTTTTGTTTTTATTGCGTAATGCAGCACACGCAGGGATTATGGAGGAGGAGACCCTGCATACTGGATATATGCAAATCAGTGGTAATGAAATCTTGTGGTGAAATATCCATGCACGTGTGGAGAAAATGCACGGTGTCAACTTAACACATAACGATAGATTCAGCCTTAGAAAACTACCCCATGTTATGAGTTACCAAGGTTTGTGTTTACACTGTTGACTTTTGTGTGTCACTTATTTGATGATAGTACATGTCACGCATTGACTTAAGCGACGATCACAACCCGCCGTACGTGCTCCTGCGTGCTGTCTACGTGCAAAAACGTGGGCAAACGTGAGGCATCCGTGCGTGGTGAGTACCACCTCCGTACGGAATCCTACGGATTTGGGAGCACACAGACACGCCGTAGAACTTTAAGTGCATGTAAAACTTTTTCTACGTGCGGTCTGCGGATTCACCACCCGTGCGTGCGAGTACGAGCGACGTGCGTGCCCCATACGTGCCGTGCGGAAGAAGCACGTGTGAGTACGGCCTCCTTACGGTAAAGTTGCAATCGCACAGAGATCGTACGTTGTAAGCACGTACAACTCACGTACCACTTGCGCAACGTACAATGCACGCAATCGCTCATGGTCAGACGTAACGTGCAGACCACACTCTTACACCTTGCAAAACCGTGCGAGTGACGTGCGAGTGACGTGCGTCGATGCCACTCCTTCCGCACGTTTTCAGAAAAAACGTAGCAGACGTAGCCTCCCAAAAAACGTACGGACAAAAGCACGCACGGCGGGTTGTGACCGTCGCTTAAGTTGTGACTAACTGTCACTAACCAACATATCAGCTTATTCGGGTGTTGAATTTCAAAGTAAACGTTTACTGAAAGTACTATTCTTCAATATATCAGAATTTTGGCATATGCCATGCTCAGGCCCCAGCCAATCCACGGCGAAGAAACTTCGGTTCGACCCCAAGCTCAACCGCTGGAGGGAGGAAACATGGCCGACCTACGCCAACCCGGGCATGAAAGCAGCGGAACGCAACTGTCTGTACCTGGTGCAGAGCGAGGAGCCGGCGGGGCAGGTGGTGAAGTACGACATCCTGACCGAGGAAACCAGCGAGCTGAGCCGGCTTCCCAACTACCTGCCGTCCCACCCGGCCAGCAAATGTGCGCTGCTGGGCAACAGGCTCCTCTTCGTGGACTACAAAGCGCCGGGGAAGGTTCATTGTTACCACGTGGAGGAGGACAGGTGGAGCGAGCTGGCCGACTTTCCCGGGGTGAGAAAGAACACGACAAGAACGATAACCTTGGAGATGACGATGCCTTCTTCACTAAACTGATCGCGACGTGCCAAATAGTACTATGTCATACAATATGTTTTCACAATCAGCAAGTGTATTATTTGAATTTTCGAACATGGTTGTAAGCTATTGAATTGAAATTTCTTGAATGAATCGTTAGATTTCTGTTGCACGCAATTTATTTATGATGCTGAATATGATACCAAATATAGCAAAAAACTGTTTTAAACGCAAATAATCATTAAAAATAAGCATTTAAGTGACGCATTACATGTTGTTACCTCCGGGGAAGGAGATATCCTTCCGCGAGGAGGTTTTACTATGGTTCGAAACATTTCTGTCAGCAGCTGTTTCTCGCGATCGGCTGGACGGATTTGTCTGTGGTTCGGTATACGTATTGCTATTGGGCTGCAGATGATGCAGAACGTTTTTGTTTAATTGCATATGTGTTTATGGGCGTCGAAATAAAAGGTGTTTAAGTGCTCCGGACACCCCCGCCATGCTGAAAATGGTAATTACCATGTTGTTAAGGAATGGGGCGAGTGCAGTTTTGGGTCTAACCATTCAAAAATGAGAAAACAGAGTCAGAGGGGTGTATGGTTCCGATAAAAATTTTGGGTGACGGCGCAGCAATGATGGCGCGGGATGACGGCGGGGGTAATGGCGCGGGTGACGGTGCAGGCTGTCAGACACGTTACGTTAATCAACAGTCCATACCGAACCAACCGTCAGTAGCCATCAAACACATACAAACATACTACGCACATAACTTTCATACTACACACAAACAAATAACCTAAACCAATAGAACACACAAAAAACCCGGAGGTTTGAAATCTACGATTTCCCTTGTTTAGTTCTGATAGTGCTTGATCGATGCTATATGTTGTTAACATGATTTCCTCTCTGGTCAATTGCTACTTTTAATGTGTGATTTGCCATATTGTTGTGCTGGTTTTCTGAACTATCATGGTATAAAGCAGATTCAATGGTGATAGTGAAACGTTATTTCCATCAACCTTATTTTCCATTTCTTTCATTAGTCATTATTATCCTTAAGTAATTATTATCAAATCTGTCTTGAATATGATCTTTTGGTTACATGTAGCTTACGATGTAAAGCGGTGATGATTGACTTGCGGAACAGATCTCTCTTATGGTACCCTGTAACCATTACGTATATATACACAGTATTTATATACTAACGTCACCCCATGCTTTACATGAAACAAATAGAGTAGAACAACAAGTCTTTGTCACCGTACGGTATGTCATCCCTTACTTTAACCCCGCTAGTATCCACCATAACTTAAAACGATCTATCTAGAAAAAATGCACTGCTCTTAACTTAAGGCAGGCTACACATGACTGGATCATCCTGCTCAGAACATGGCGGCGACGGTTGCCATCAGAGCGGTGCTGAACACGACAGTTGTCAGGGCCTTCAGGGGGACAGTAGCGCTCACATCTGTAACAGACAGGGTTGTCAACATTGTCGACAGCACAGCCGCATGGCCATATTAAAAACAAATTTTAAGCAGACAATTTTGGTCGATATCAAAATGACGGATGTCGTCCATAATCATAAAATCGTAGTATTGTAGTATTATTAGGCCCCTTAACTTGTTATGAAAACAATGGGAAGTTATTACGCACAGGCTTTCACGCCGGTGACAGGAGCCGACTCCAGGCCGACCCAGAACGTCTCGAATCCCTTGACGAATGTCACGCGGAAGACGACTGTCATATTAGCCGGGGCGGCAGGTGGCGTCCAGGTAGCGTCCAAAGTTCGGACCTTCGTCTCTGACGTGTGAGTGAGGGCATTCTACAGAGGGCACAAAGGGGCTCATGTTTGAGTCAACTTTAACACGTACACATACGGTGAAACAAATGTTGGGCCATACAAAAGAATGTTTGTGCCAAACATTACCGTAACCTTAATCAAATAAGCCTGTCTGAGATGTGATATAAAACAGTTCCTAGCTACGTACGCGTCCATAACGTGCAGTATGCACACGTACATATCTGGTAAGATATTACCGTGAGTCTACCACCTTTATACGTTGAAACATATGCACGAGCCAGTCTTTACCTTCATCCCGCCCGGACAATCCCTGGTCTGGGTGCCGGTTGGAAGCACTTCCCACCTGCCCACCGGGGCGGTAGTGCCCTGTAGTCGGGCCTGCAGGAAGAAGCCCTCCCAGTAGTACTGGGCCGCATCGGTAACTCCCAGGGACACTGGAATGCAAGTCTTAACGTTTAAAACACTAAGGCATAACTACGACTAGTCATCATCAGCAGCAGCGATGCGTCTCAGTGTTTGGCGTAAGACCAGGTCGTCCGTAAGACCAGTGACAACCCAGTCATAATCCTCAATCATCTGAAATCATACTAAGGAAACATAAAGACACAGAATAGCGCGCACGCTCGAACGCACGCACGCATGAAAACACACACACAAAGAATAAGTGCATAAGTTTGTATTTTACAGTTACCTTGGACCTTTCCATTGTCCTGCCTGGCAGCAGTGATGAGGTAAGGCGCCGTGGACAGGTTCTGTGAGCTGTAGCGCTCGTCAGGGAGGCTGGAGTTCTCGTGGTTCATCCGGTGGTTCGGGAACATGGCACTACAGGCCTCGACAGGAGCACCAGAAGGATACCCCTCAACCATGCAGACCGACAGGGTCACGACCAGGGCGGCGGCGACCGCCAACTTCAGGGAGAATGCCATCTGTGTGAAGCAAAATGGAGTTTAACATATTTTGTTTGTCGTCAGTCTTGATATATATATATATTATATAACCGAAACGCCCAACCCGTTTTTTTTTTTCGTTTCTTAGATCCATACAGTCACTTGCAGTGTGCCAGACACAACAACTTTCACTTCATAACGGAGGTTGATAGTCACCTGTTATTTCTTCCACAAATATGATAAATCGTCATAAATAAAGAAATACTTATTAGGCCAGGATACTAGTATGGAATTTGACCCATGCTAACTTCATGTCCTTTACAATGAGGCAAACATTTAGTAATGTGCATGTGAAAATGTAAGCAAAGTGGCTTAGAAACATTTCCCACGAGACAAAGTTCCGCCCGGCTTACTTCCGTGTACGTGCTGTCCGTTCTAAACTTTGCCGCAGGCGGTGTCGTTCTGTGTTCAACTCTGTACTGTAAACAGACAGAAGGGTAAAGATCGGCCAGGAACATGAAAAGGGATCGGGTGTACCAACGATTTGTTGATTTCAGGTAATGTATGGGATTTTGAAGGCTGCACAATCCTAAACCTGTGCGTCATCGTGAACGGTTTCTGGAGATAGGAAATTCCTGGGTCCGTTGACTTACTGCGTCCTCACGAGCGTTGCGCCACTACCACTACTACTACTTCTGCGGCATTAGGGAGAGGTAACATTCGTCCTAGTCGCTAGTGCGTTCTTGACATGTGGGTTAATTTCCAACATTTTGTTATCGAGAAACCCACTTCTACATATGCGAAACTCTTATGACAATACAACACAACACAACGTACGGCTTCCTACCAAGAGTCGACAGGAAAAGACTCTCTTACGGGCCCAGACATTATACACTATTTGTAATACACCTGCATCGCGGAATGGGCACACGTGTCATGTCAATTACATGGGCCTGCGCTTGCCTTCTTCTCTCGGACTGTCGTCACTGAGGTGCGTATGATGACTGGGATTTTATCAGGACTTTGTGTCGCCACGTCCCTAATCGATAACCATAAATCAGCTCTAACTACATGTCACCTATGATAATATCTACGACGTCTGCATATGTTGCACGTTCTTCTGTAATCACGCTTCCATTATTAATGCAAAATAAAGGGAGTATATATTGTAACCAAAAACTCAGTCCTTTTGAAAAAACTTAAAGGGATCGGAGCGGTATGATTGTGTGAAGATGTGGCATTGGTACGATGTATATATGGTATGGTGTACGTGACATCCCGCACGACACCTGGACTGCCACAATTATCTTGTCGAAAGGTACTTGATGCAACCTAAAAGGTCTGATCGTTTTCAAAATCTATCCAGTTGCTTGAGTAACGTCAACAGTTACAACAGTTACTTGGGTATCTTATTACCCAGATAAGATACCTTACCTTTATAACTAATGATATCTTACCTTTATCGATGACAGTCATCTTTGACCGTGGCTTTGTTTACTAATAGTCATCTTTCAAAATATGGCACATTAGTGGGTAATTGTAGACAGGCCAGGAATCCCCTAAGGCACACTAGGTCTAGTTTCAGATTTTAGTTAGTTTCTCACACTTGCCGTTGTGTTTGCACGAGAATCAAAGGCTTAATATCATGTTAGTAAAGGTACTGGAGAGATAAAAATGCATTTGGGTATTTTTTCTGCATCCTTTAGCAATTATGGTAAGTGTGTGACAATGCCGTGACATGCCCCTCAGCTGTCTCACATCGCCGTACGATCTCCGGCTGGTACCGACAGGTGTCACTGACCTTGGGAAACACCGCTTCAAATGTCAATGTTTGTACGTGGCGATATCTGACTCTGGATCTAGTCTCTGATTTCCCCAAGTTGATGTAAACAGAATGGAAACAGCAAAACGGCTCATGGGCTGTTCATGTTGAAGTGGTCAGTTCATGATGAAGTGGTCAAGTGGTTGGCTATACTAAGGACATTGTATAGGATATAATGCCCTTGACCTTCTGGTTTATTCGCCCGATGCGAGCGGGGCGGTAAACGTCTGGTCGGATATCGACCTGTTGGTACTCTGAACTCCGACAAGCGCACCACTACTACAATTCTCGGAAGTGGACATTTGTAATCACGAGTCAGCACTACTTGAGGAGCTGCACTACTGCACGCTGTACCCGAAATGAAGTTTCACTTGTTGAAATTTCTGGCGAGGCGACGCCATCTCTGTTGGTGCGACGGAGGTATGCGCTCCAACAGTTACGCTGAACACACCGAAATACACGTAAAATGGGTAAATCTATACATGATGCTTTGATCAGTAAACATTGGAGATTCCATTTGTCGTAACTTAATGTATTTATAGCCATGGAAAGAAGAAATCGCTAAGAAAACCCTGGGCGAACGCGATCCTGACGTGACACTGAGTGCTAGGTTACAAAAGGCAAACCTTGCTTTTGTCACGCTACAGAATTAACATAAAGCAAGCGAGGTTAACGTTAAGTTGAATTTGAAACAAACAACGAAAGGTTAACGTTACCTGGCACGTAGGTCCAGCAAATACGTGGCGGTGCCTCTGAGAAAAATTTGGTAAGAATTACCTTGAGCAGAACTTTGTGGCGTGTTATAACCTTGCGTCGAGCTGTAACTTTGCGTCGTGTTGTCCCACCTTGTTGTTGACTTCACAAATGAGACTGTCGTCAATTCATGAAATGGGATATTCCACAAAGTGTGTGTGTGGGGAGGGGCAGGTCAAAACAACAAAGAAAAAAGTTGCATAGCGAAGCGCGAGTGATCCTTGGAGGGCTGAACCTTAAACGCTTTTCTAAGCTCTGGTTCCAGCTTGGCTTAGTATGTGAGATGTGGATAAACAATAACGGAGAATGATGCAAGGTTCTCTTAAAGTGCCTCCCCCTAGTATGAATGTAAGCATCACAAGTGGTTAAACTTGAATCGTGAGTAGTGATAAATTTGCATACTAAACAGAAGTAACACAGTTTATTGATTCCATGGCGGGTAGCACATTTCAAAGTGTCTGAAGTGTAACACCAGGAATTCGAATCTTTCGAGTGTTCTGCAATCTTGTTAACGTTCGTTTGAAGTTGCCAATACTCAAGATTATGTTTGGCCCCACCCTAGCACCATTTGAAACAAGCATGAAATCACATTATGGGATTCGAAGAATTTACAAAAATGTAGCCACCTGTGGGGACTAGCGCTTAAGCTTGTTTTTAGGATTAAGACAGGCTGCAGTGATGCTGAAACAAACAAATCATCCAGCATGTTGATCTTGTTACTGATTTGTGCTAGCAGCATACAACTGTAAATCATGAAACTTTTGCAGTGGTTTTAATTTATCGGTTTCCGCAGTGTCTTCTAAATACGAAATCATGACACAGCAAAAATGTATTTTACATTTTTAGTTTACTACGGGATTGGACTTCAGGGCCGCGAAAGCCTCCTTTCGCCTCATACTGTGAAATAGAAGCACGCAAAATAAATGCATTTACAGTATCACAACAAACAGTTGTCTCGCATCCACGCCATCTCCGGGTGACACCATGACCAGTCACCGACCTTGAGAAACACACCTTTGAAGGTGTGATGATGTAATTCATGAGCATGTTTTTCCTGTTAACAGCAGGGGTTACTCATGGTTCATATAACACATAAAGGAAACATTGACACTTCAACAGTCTGACTTAACTCTTTAATGTCATCATTGCTTACACATTAGTGACCTTGTCACTCCTAATTATTGGTCCTGTCCTACCATGTACCACTATGAAGTATCATATCAAACTGACAAACTCTTTTTCTGCAAAAAGCTTTTATAGCATTCTTTGATTTAAAGCTGTCAAATTCCTTTTCACATCACAAGCACCTCAATGACTTTGCATGCAGGGAAACCCATGTTTTGAAATGTTCTTATTGCGGCAAAATCTCTCTTCAAATACAGAAAATTTGCAAGAGGTAGTTCTAGAGACTCCAGGAGAAAATTTTAAGATAGCTATGTAAATTGCTAGGTCTTCAGAATCTTTTTATTTAGCCACAACAGAGCTATATAGTATATGTACCCAATTTTACACACAAGTACACATACAATTGATCAAAACATTGACTTTTTCACAGTATACAATATGAATCAGTCACATGCAAAAGTAAACTGACATTAAGAGGATCAAAGTCTCCAGGACTGCTTCTTGTGGTTGCATCCACTGTCTCAAATAAACCTATCGCTATCAAACTAGCGTTCCTAACCCTACTGCTGCCGCAGCCGCGGCCAGAGCCTGTGCTGCCTGCCTCGCTTCCAGCGTGAGCCTGGCTTCTTCTAGCCAACCAGAAGCCACCTTCCGAGGCTCCCCCTTCAGTTGATTGATAAACCTTGCTGCTTGCTCTAAGTCTCCGTTTTCTAGGCTATGTTCTGCATAAGATAGTAACGTGAACGTGTCCAATTTCTTTGGGTCGACTTCTTTCCCCGGGGGGAGCGACCTCCTTCCCGCGTCCACCAGCAGGAGAGACTGGAGGTACGACACGAAGAACTGGAAGAGGGTTCCGCCGGTTTCATCGATCATGGCCACGCGCCGGCAGACCCTTTTGACGCGGAGGAAGCGCTGCCGTAGAGAGTCCTCCGGATACACGCCCGCCTCCATGGCCTGCTGCGGCATGGCGTCCAGGAGCGTCTGGAAGAACGTGCTGTCCCCTGCTGCCTCCTTCACGGTGTTGACTTCCCTGGAGAGGGGCACGCGGCGCTCCTCCCATGACGTCGCCTCCTCGTTGCCAGTGTTGATGAGACGTTTCAAGGTCTCACAAGCAATCAGCAGCTCCTGGGACTTACGGGCTTCTCTCTCGATGTCAGCTCGACCTGTAGGAACCAGAATAAATTTGCATTTAGTCCCAGTTAGGCATGGATATGTAATAAACTTCTTATCATTGTCATAGATGATATTTGCAGCATGCCCAAACAGTGATCTGCAGTACTGCAACCAATTAATAGGGGTCGCTTTTAACCTATGAAAATGATCCCTTCATTATATTGTCATTGTCATTCATGATGAATGTAACATGTATCAGCTTAACTTGCTCTTTGGTAGCAGTGGTTAATGAATAGGTTAATGTTCGCTGAGCTTACCCTCAATGGCTGCCTCCACCCCCCTCAGCCTGGCCATGGCCTCGTTCAGTTTGACCTGGTAGCGATCTCGCTCGTCCATGAGAGCGTCGTGCATCTCGGCCTGGTGTTTGGAGCCCAGCTCCTGCTCCTGGACCCGCAGCACGTCCTGCAGGTGCTCGCTGTGTGCTGCTGCCTGCCGACGCAGCTGGGTACGCATCTCTGTCTCATACTGCTCCCTCGCCTGGGCAATCTGGACAACAAATCAGGGATTTCAGACTTACCGGGAGCATTTTGAGATTCCATGATATTTAGAGGTAACTAACCCGACATCCTGTTTCTAACATTTTGACCTATCATTCTGCCTGCCAATCTTCCCCACACCCACATGCTGTTAACCTACTGTCCGGACAGACACACAAACACCCAAATAAATAATCATGCGCTCCCACATCCACATACCCTGAGGTCCTGAGCCAGAGCCAGTTCTTGTTTCTGCCGTTCCAGTTCTCTCTTCAGCAGCGCAAGGGTCTCCTTCTCATCCTCGGCACGCTGTCTGCCGAGCGCGTCGTCCATACGGGACTTCTCCAGCAGCTGCTGTTCTGCCAGCTGGCTCTGCAGCTGTTCAATACGCCGGTGGGCGTGCGCGATCAGGGAGTTCAGCTCGTCTTCAGAGAGTTTGCCTGTGTGCCAAGTAACAGAGGAGATCTTTATTACAGTCAAACCACTACATACATGTAAGGACCACCTGGACAATGTGACCACTTTTGGTGGTCCCTTGGATAATGTTTCCAATTGACATCAAAGTGTTAAGGCGTTGGTAGTTTTGACAAAGTATTAAAAAATACATGTATTCGAAAATTGCAGCAGTAGTTTAGCCTAGCCTTAGACATAGACAAGGGAAATCGTAGATTTCAAACCTCCGGGTTTTTTTTTCTATTGGTTTAGGTTATTTGTTTGTGTGTAGTATGAAAGTTATGTGCGTAATATGTTTGTATGCCGGTTTGATGGCTACTGACGGTTGGTTCGGTATGGACTGTTGATTAACGCAGTGTTCGAAATACTTTTTTGAGCAAAGTAGCACAGTGTGCTACCTAGGGCAAAAACTAGGTAGCGCAGCAGAATTTTAGGTAGCGCCACCGCCCCCCCCCCATTTGTCAAATTCTATGCACGTGTCGCAATACTATATTTCTTCCAATCATAGAGGTATAATACCTCCATGCTCTAATAAAGTTACTTTTTTTGAGGTTTCAACTCTGAAGTAGGAGCTCTGGGTCGAAGCCAAATTACGGGTGCGTGATTTATTCTGGTTTTCTACTGAAACAAGTGCTTCTGCAAAAGCTGACCATTTTCGCCGCTTACAGGCTTACAGTTTTTACGAACATTTTCCCCATCCTATCATTTCAATTTACCTAAGTTATATAAATGGTTCTAGTTCTCATCAACATTGTATATAATGAGAGAACATGCACTTCTATATTTCAACTCTTTAAGTTTAAAACATTACAAAAATCAAGTATATAACAGTTTATAACCTGTTTTCTCTCTTTTAAGAGTCTTTTTAACAGAATAAAAAAATGAGACACAAAAGTACATTTTAACTTAAATTATAAGTAACGTTAATATATATATATATAATTTTATTCAAAATCTCTTCTATGGCTTTGTCCCCAACATCTAAGTTTACAAACCTCGTGACATTCAACCAGGGCTTTAGCCAGCGCCCGTTTTACCGTCAATTGACGGTATTTTTTCCCGTCGGACGGTAAAAATTTAAGTCCTTACCGTCAACATTGACGGTCAAAAATCGTGGGTGAAGACATTAAACTTAGCAAAAAATGTAGCGAATTTGAATGAGCCACGGCGCGGGGTCTTTCCAAAGCGCGTCGCGTCTTTTCAAAACGCCGCGGGCCCACACATTTCTTATTTAAATACGGCGGGAAACCTGACTTCAAGGAACGTGCCGATGTCTGTTAACTCGGTTCTTTTCTTCAATGTTGCTGTCTGTTTAAACAACATGTGCTAACGGCCACATAAGAACAATGGCTCGACTCAGACTCACGCTGGTAACTGTACATGACAATAAGATAAATAAACAACATGTGGCAACGAACAAAGAAATATCAAAACGTTTTGAAAATATACTGTACTTGAATTTTCATACCATCGCAAGAAAACGGAGATCGATCTACGCAAAGTGGCTTTATTATTTATATAAACTTCGTTAAACCACCTTCGAAGACTTGAGCGGCAGCATAAAGATAAATTTTCTGGAGCCGATCGCTGAAGCAAGTTTTTGCCGGCGTACGTAACTCCCTCCGCGGCAAAATCCCATATGCCGTAGCGAAATCGCGTCTCAGCACTTCCCCAAATCAACTCCATGGCCGCTAAAGTCTGCAAATGAGGTTAAACTTCCTCATTTCGGTTGAGAAGCGAAGCTACTAGTATAAAATCATGTGCATGGCGGCCATTTTGTTTGCTACCCGAAGTCTTCCGAATGATCTAAATAAGGAAATCGTCGGAAATCTGAGCCACATCCCTCGCTGTCGGCATGCGCTCGGGGCTGGCTCGGTGGAAATCGGAGGCTGTGGCGTCAGGACTAGGTTTATTTGCATGGCTCGGGAAGCTGCCGCGGCTTGAATCGCAGCGGGATTTGGGCGCCGGGCGGGTCAAACAAAGGGAATATGAAGTTGTGAGGACCATAGTTGTTTTTTTTTCATTCTTCAAATTGCAGATTGTGTAATTTTTATCCTGAAATCTTGAAAATCTATCTGCAAATTGCAGACTGAAGACGGGTATTTAGAACACTGAATACATGAAGTGTGCGGGGGGGCATGATGTCGATCACCGGATCATGATTTTTTTTCGCGTTGACCCTGATTCAACCCTAAAATAATACTCGAAGAGAACTTCAAAAGTCATCTTTTACTAATCATATATAATTGTTTACATTATATCATTTGATCAACCTGATCTATTAAAAATTGTCAATGGAAAATACCTTGCCAAACAATGCAATACCTATTTAAGTTAATTAAACACTCACTCATTAATTAATTAATTTCCTAAAATACAAAAGACATGTTATCTGTATCTGTATCTGTATAGCCGGTATAACCGCCTTTCGGCGTAACACACCAGCTTCGCAGGCACGCGGCGCGGCGGCAGCTGGCTATATTACACCGATCGACTTGTTACACCTAACCCTTGAACTTCTAGCTCTAGACATTGTTTAAAGCTATCTATTGACAATGCCCCTACTGTACTTGGTGACAGTGAGTTCCACTCTGCGATAGTTCTAGGAAAGAATGAATTCTTGAACACCACAATCCTTGGTTGATAACTCTGGTACTTGAATGCGTGGCTATTTCTTGTTCTCCTCAGGGCTGGTATTAGGTACTTAGTAGTTGGGACATCCACCAGTTTATTAGTCATTTTGTA